GACAAAGCGTCCTCTGTACGACCGGAAGTTGTAGATAGCTTCCATCCTGCGGTCTCCGCTGCGAAGCTCACTGTAGACAAACCACACAACATGACGGCAGGCAGCAGCCAGTCCCGACCTGGTCCTCCAGCGCACAACGAAACATCAAAGAGATACTTTGCCCATTCTTCCGCCGACCGTATCAACACTGATGCTGTCATCGTCGACTCCCTCCGCGCCGAATACCCTCAGCTCCACCTTACCGTTGTACCGCAGACAAGCTGCGACCTGATCGCCTACGCCCAAGCAGGCCATGCAGGCATAGCGCCCATTGACAAAGAGCGAGACCGTCTAGGCTGGAGGTTCTACGTCCCGCCTGCCAGCCGCCTCTCTGGCGGACGAGGGATCCTTGGTGACAAGGTCTCCTTCGGCAAATTCCTGATCGATTGGGGCAACCGCGAGTTTGTCGTGTATGTTGTGAATGGAAGAGATGGAGGCGCGGCATATCCAGTCGTCTCCAACCAGTACATCCTCTCCAGCTCGATCGACGGCGTAAACCAACTGCTCCTCGAGGCGGGCCTGTGGAACAACGAACTCCATGACGAGGTCTGGGTGTTCGATGGTGGCTGGTGGCAGAAGAGCGCCGAGCTGTGGGACTCGGTACAGAAATCGTCCTGGAGTGATGTCATCCTCGACGAGGGCATGAAGAAGGCCCTCATCAACGATGTCGACAACTTCTTCGACAGTAGGGCCACATACGAGCGGTTGAAGGTGCCCTGGAAGCGAGGCATCATCTACTACGGTCCTCCTGGCAACGGCAAGACCATCAGCATCAAGGCCATGATGCATGCACTCTACAGCCGCAAGGATCCGATCCCCACCCTCTACGTTCGAAGCCTGGCCGGTTTCGGAGGCCCTGAATACAGCCTCAACCAGATCTTCACGCTCGCTCGGCGGACTGCGCCTTGCTATCTCGTCTTCGAGGATCTCGACTCGATCGTCACAGACTCAGTGCGCTCGTACTTTCTGAACGAGGTGGACGGCATCAAGAAGAACGACGGCATCCTGATGATAGGGAGCACCAACCACCTTGATCGGTTGGACCCGGGCATCTCGAAGCGCCCCTCCCGCTTCGACCGGAAGTACCTCTTCCCGAACCCGGACGAGGGTGAGCGGGCGCAGTACATGAAGTACTGGCAGGCCAAACTCAAGGACAACGACGATCTGGACTTCCCGGACAAGCTGTGTCCAGCCGTGGCGAAGATCACAGACGGCTTCTCGTTCGCATACATGCAAGAAGCCATGGTCGCAAGTCTGCTTGCAATCGCCAGAGAAGATGGCTTCGCAGAGCGCTCGTGCATGGAGTGTCTGGAACCGCATGACAAGGCCAGCACTGGAGACAGTTGTGACAGGGACCCGAAGAAGCCTTTCAAGGGCTTGTTCGATTACGTCTGGCTTGCGCGTCGCATCGATGAGGATGATCCGAGCTTGGACAACCTGGTCCTGTGGAGGGAGATCAAGAAGCAGGTCCGCATCTTGAGAGAGGAGATGGGAGGGGATGACAAATGAGCATTATGCCTGGAAATAAAGGCGGATGTGTATATGCAGTCACATGACACCAAAATGTGTTTGAACGAGATTTCCCAAAGTAATCAGCATGTAGGATGGAAGGGATAGAGGGGGGGCCAACATGACAGCACACGGTAAGCATGTACCAGACAGAAACAAGGAAATGAAAGGAAATGAAGAGAAATGAAGCCGGATCTATGGGTTTCAAAAATAGGCCGTCCCTTCCATGACCTCTACACGAGGCTGTCGCAGACGCGTGGCAGGGTGTTGGCAAGTTGCAACATGTCCAGCTGCACAAAGGGGAGGGGTCGAAAGTCGTAGTATGATGACTGTTTCATGAGATCGAGGCCATACACGGCGAGGCTACCCTGCGAGAGAACCATGCATAGTGGGAGCATCCAGCAGAAAGGGTAAGAAGATGATCCGTAACTTCAAGGGTGCGCGTCACGTTCTGCTGCCTGCTGCTGATTTTTCAGGAAGATTTTGTTTGGTCATCGCACCCTCAGTCATTAGTTGCCCTTCGAGAAGGGAAGGTAAGGTCCTGGGCTGCAGTGCGAACGACTGTGATTGGCAGAGAGGCAGCGGGCAACGGAGTTACGACGGCTTCATGCCAGAGACGACAGGATACGTGATGGAACTTCGGGAAGGGGAAAGTGAAAGCTGATGCGCAGACTTCAAATGATCTCGTTTCGTAGTTCATACATACAGACATAAAGGAAAATCGGGTATCAAACGCGTCACTCGGTAAAACAGCAGTGAAGATCACAAAAGCCGCGGGCATCCAGCCAGTCCATCCGGTCCATCCATAAAACACCAACAATAGTCAACCTCCAGCCGTGAGGCAGAGCGGTTGCTGTAACCCAATAACCTTGCTTCCCTCCCATCTTTTCGTATTGAAACACCTCAAATCAAAGTTGTCGTGGATAGCCATGACTTTCCAGTCTCGTAATAGTACATGTGGCATATTGCTTAGGATCACACCCTCTCCGTTCCACCCTCAACATCATCATCAGCGTGCAATGGAGGTGAGGTAGAGGTGTGGCGGTGGGCGCTGGGACTACTTGTAGTAGCCTTGGTACTCCATGCCCCTTGTCGAAGGCTCGTCGTTAGGCACAGTGCCACTTGGCTTGTGGACGACTGGCTTGACGGCGAGGACTGGCTGCTGCTGGAGGGAGTTCATTGTGTATGGCATGGCTGGATGGATACCAGTCGGTGCGGATAGGCAGATGTGGCAGTGCGAAGCTGGCTATTTGCCTCTCCAGTAGTGTTGTAGCGAAGATGGTGTTCACCTTAGCAAGGGTGTGGTCTGTGTATGATGATATGTAAAGTCTTGTCGCTAGAGATGCGGTATTGTTGTAGAGTGTTGGTGGTGAGGAGACAGTGGCGTGATCGAGTTGAGGATATCTGCTGCGACAGTGACGCGGAATGATGGATGTTGTCTGACAGGTACAGGCTTGCCTTGCATTGACGTGGATGGAGTGCTGGAAGTATATGAGACAGACAGGACGAGGGAGGCAGACAGGAAGGGATAGACACAGAGATATATACATCGCTACCCGCCTGCGAGGTACCATGCGGGAGGCGAATGGCATTAGGAATCAGTCAGTCACTTACGCAGTCGATCCATGTCGAATGAGCTTGCTGCCTGGATGGCATCAGGCAACATCCAACGCAGGACGCCAGGGTGGACAGAGGGACGGACAGCATTGCCCCCTTCTGCACCGGCCTCAGTAGAGAGAGACCCTCAGGTCCTGCGCTGTGCGGACGAGATAGGTGGGGGCTAAGCAGACCCAGTGGCCTCTTCTGGCGTGGAGAGAGTCATTCTATCATCGACGGATGCGAGAACATTCCAGATACACACGCGAGTGTACTTGTTACGGGCATATGGTGGTGAGCGGAAGCACCCACGGCGATCCTCCTCCCACTATCGCCGGCAGCAGAATGCGTAATGGGAGGCCGGAGCCAAACTACAAAGAGCAACAGTCGAGGAAAATGACTCAGAAGGCAACCACAATTGAGGCGCCGCCTGGGGTGGCGAACTGGCCAATGCTCCCGCCGCGCTGATTGTGGGCGTAGACGGAGGGGGGGAGTCAATGGTGCCAATGGATGGTGACAATGGGGGGGGGGGGGGGGGACGATGAGTCGGCGGAGGAGTCATAGCGATGGAGTGAAGGTGATCGCAGACAAAGGCATTCAGGACCTGCAGCGTTTCCTCCTGTCGCAGAGCTGCAGCATCTGTAGGCACCCGAGATGCCTGATTGGCCTGGTGCCTGGGGTTGGCTTTGCTGCGGTCGCCGGGTGCGCGTTTCTCTGCTCTGACAGGGCTGATTATCCGCACGCCTCGGTGGGCAGGGCCCGTTGGCGATCAGCGCGCACGCACACACAGACGTACACACCAATCCGTACAAATACATACAAACGCATACAGATATATACGTATATATGTGTATATTTACTTTCATACACACGCGCGCGAGGCTCAGCCAGCTGTCGATGGGATAGGTAGGTCGCGGTTACCTGCGCACAATGTGCTGCGGACTGCATCGGGGCGGACATTTTGTATGATGCGGTTTGCATCGGAACGGGCAGGATGATCAACGCTTATCATGGGATGGCCCATTCCAGGTCGGGCCAAGCCAAGACAAGGCCTCAAGTTGTTCTACGAAACCCAGTCTTCACACCTCATAGTACATAGCGTATACAGGGGAGAGGATGATGTTCCTACATATCGAAGATGAGCGCGTCTGATGCGGGATGGCCCGCCCCCCCTCTCGCTTAGCGGCCTTAGGCGAATCAATGTTCTCCTCCCTTCAATGGCCCAGAAGCGACACGAGGGATCGGCGACGACGTGTTTGTGGCCTGAGGCGAGAGCTCGGTAATATATATAGACCTCAGTGTCTCGACGTCATGGTATATTGAATGGAAGCGATCATTGCAGAACTCACAACACTGTAGACCCTACCATGCCACTCCTACACAAGAGACCTGCTGCATCTTCTTCTTCATCACAGGCAGTGGCATTGGAGTCGCGTATGTTCGCTGCCAATGCTGCACAGAGCGTTTCAATATCTTACCCCTTCGATGGTGTTACCGTGCAGTGATATAGAACTAGGTATCGATTCTAGCAGAAGGTCTCTGTACATACTCTGTGCCTTTGTCGTTGCAATATCGTACCCCTCTCTCATCTGTTCTCCGTCCGCCCTCTCCTTTCGTCTTGACTCTAGCCCATCTGACTGGTATGTTGCATCCCGTCGATACGACGACCACGGCTACTGACCACCATTGAACCAGCCTTCTTGACAATGCGTCCCAGGTGGATCTAGCCCAAGTCTGTATAATTCTTGGCATACCCTATGCCAACTCAGACTCGCTTTCGTATTCTGTACGTTTATATAAGAGCTTGCTCGGGAATTCCGAAATGACTTCCTTGTGTCCAGAACATCATTCAATCTGGTGGATTGGTCTAGTGGTATGACGCCTCGTTTACAATCGCCTTGATTGAGCCGAGTAGGTCGCGAGTTCGAGCCTCGCATTCACCTGGAACGTTGCTGTCGTTTTGCTGCAGCATTGGCTTTTGCTTGGGCACGATGTGCTCAGGACAGCCACCCCTGAAAACGATGTGGAGGGATTGGAGGAAGCCACTACTAAGACGCTTCAAGGAGTAGCAACATGGAGGTAATAGCAATCAACATTCGTTTTAGTAATGAGACATTTGCTGTGGTAAGAACAAGCAAAATCCAGATTGGACGGAATCCGAAAGTGAATGTTTCGTCGTCAACGATCAACCCTATGTATACAGTCTACCCAGGCACACAATACTTCAATGGCCAATGTGTCATTCTGCAGAAGGACAAAGAAATAGATGTGCCCATTTGCTAACCACAATGCAGGCGAAATACTGTGGAGTCATTATTGCAGCTCCCTCCATCGTACTGTTTCATAACGAAGTCACCACAATTGCGCCTTGCAATACTATATATCGAATTAGAATATAAGAACAGAATCATCTCTTTAGATGCCAGAACAGGCCGAAATCGCCTAGTTGATTGCAATCCATCCCTCTCTCAGCCAGTCTGTAACACAGCACCAGTCATGCCGTCCGCAGGCACCGATTGCACAACTGCGTTCTTCAGCTTGCACGTAGTCCCATCCCAGACCACATCAACACACGCAGCGATGGAATCGCAATCGGATATGCATTCCTCCATGCTGCTCGCAGCGACCTGCGTGAGGTCTGCGCCTGGGCGATCGAGGTTGCATTCGATGGTATAATCGCTATGCGAGCCTGGAGAGCGATATATGCTGTTGTTGTCGTAGGGGCAGCTGATGCCTGTGTGCACGCCCTGTCGTCGCGCAAATGATCCGCCTGGGAAGCTGCTGACTTGGTTGAGACGCCACTTGAGATAGCAACGATCTGGGCCAGAAGTTAGCAACAAAAAGCTCTGGTTACGAGGTGACGGTGGACGAGTGACGATGCTTACTTCCTGAGGAGAACTCTGCACCGACGCAGTTGACATTGTTTGTGCATGCAGCGATACAATCATGCAATGTTGAGGCGGTCGCAGGAGCGAGGTCACCTCCATTCCGATCAATGTCGCACTCCACGATCCAATTGCCGCCCATGGGATCTGTATAGACTGTTGCATTGTCCTGGGGACAAACCGGACCAGGGTTTACGGACGATGTTGGGACGTTGCTTACTGTCAAAGACGATGATATCGTCGTCGTCGTCGCTGTCGTCATCGTTCTCACTGAGGTTGCAGTTGAGGTCGAATTTGATGTATATGTTGAATTCGTCGTTAGGGGTGTGATTGATGTTGTCGTTGAGATGCTGGAGAGCCTGGAAGAGGATATAGAAGCTGTCGAAATTGAAAATGATGCTATTGAAGTCGAAGAAGATACTGCAGTCAAGAATGTAGACGCAGTACTTGATAACGGCATTGAAGTCGAGATAGTCGATAGAGTCAGTGAAGTCGAGACGGTTGATAGCGTCAATGAAGCTGAGGGAGTCGATAGAGTCGACAGCGTCAATGACGTCGAAGGAGTCGATAGAGTTAGCGAAGTCGAGAGAATCGATAACGTCGATGAAGCTACGGGAGTCGATAGAATCGTCAACGATAATGACGTCGAGGGTGTAGATAAAGTCAGCGAAGTTGAGAGGGTCGACAACGTTAACGAAGTCGAGGAAATCAAAAGAGTCACCGAAGTCGAGAGGGTCGATAACGCTACTGAAGTTGAGGGGATCGACAGCGAAGTCGAGAGAGTTGATGACTTCAATAAAGTGGTGGGAGTGGAAAGAGTCAACGTAGCGGAAGGGCTTGATAGAGTCAGCGTCGTCGAAGGCGTTGAAGATGTCGACAGAGTCAGCACAGTCGAAGGAGTTGATGGTATTAAAGTTGATAGGGTCAATGAAGCCGATGGTACAGACAAGACTAATGAAGTCGAAGGGATGTTCAGAGTTAGAGAAGTCGAGGGAATCGGCAACGTTAACACAGTCGAGAGAGTCAGCGACGTAGGTGGAGTCGATAGAGCCAGTGGAATCGAGGGAGTTAGCAATGATAATGAAGTGGACAGGATCGACAATGCTGGGGAAGTTGGAAGGGTTCCTAACGTCAGTGAAGTCGACGGAGTTGATAGAGACAGTAGAGTTGAGACAGTCGGTAGCCCTGATGAAGTCGATGAAGCTAACAATGTGGAGGAGATAGACGAAGTGGACGACGACGAGGAGGAAGTCGAGAACGTTAGTGATATCAAAGGAGTTGACAGAGCCAGTGAACTCGAGGGGATTGACAATGTCAATGAAGTTGACGCAACCGATAACCCTAACGAAGTTGATGGTGTGGATACTATTAGCGAATTTGAGGATATTGATAACGCCAACGAAGTCGAAGGAGCCGACAGAGCTAGAGAGATCGAAGGAGTCGACAAAGCTAACGAAATCGATGGAGTCGATAAAATTGGTGAAGTTGAGAGTGTCGATAAAGTTGATGAGGTCGAGGGACTCGATGAAGCTAGCGAAGTTGATTGTATTGGCAACGTCAGCGAAGTCGAGGGTGACGATAGAGCCAGCGAAACCGAGGGTGTTGACAATGTCAACGAAGTCGATGGAGTCGACAACGCCAGTGACGTTGAGGGTGTCGATAGGCTTAGATAAAACGAGGACGTCGACAGAGCCAGTGAAACCGAGGGCGTCAAGGTTGTTAATGAGGCCGATGGAGGCGACAATGCCAGTGAAGTCGAGGGTATCGACAGTGTCAACGAAGTCGATGGAGTCGACAACACTGGTGAAGTTGAGGGGGTTGACAAAGCCAGAGAAATCGAAAGAGTTAACGAAGAAGCCAAAGCGGTCGAAGGGGCCGAGGAACTCGATACAAGCGAGGCAGATGATTGAATCGAAGAAATCGAAAAAATCGAAGAGGGCAACGAGGTCGGCAAAGTCAACCCAATTGAGGAAGTCGACAGGGCCGATACAGACAACAGAGCTGAAGACGTTGGTAGAGTCAAAGCAGGCGAGGGGATCGACAACGTCGACAACACACCTGTAGACGACGAAGCGATCGTGCTTGATGAGCTGACGCCGCTGCTGCTCGTGGTGCTCGCACCACTGACACCAGCGGAAACCCCCACACTGACAATGGGGCCATTCGTCGAACTTGCGGCTACGGACGAGAGTGAGCTTGTCGTGCCAGCGCTGCTGCCAGTGGCGGAAGCACTGTTCGATCCGATCGGGACATCGATGCTGAGCAGTGTTGCGCTGGCCGATGCTGGACTCGATGTCGACGTGATTGATGCTACACTATTGCTTTGTGGTGCCGAACCGAAGCTGGTGGTAGAGGAGACACTCGTCAAAGCCGATGAAGGAGAAGGACTTTGTAGTGATGTCGTTGTGCTTGGTGCAGACTGTGACGAGCTCGCAGGGCTTGAGGAGCTTGAGCCAGGTAGCACGGTCGTCACGCCGACAACTGTCGTTATTGATAACACTATCGACGCTGCCGAGCTGGCTCCACTCGAGACGCTAGAAATGGACACCAACGTCGTCAATGGAACGACCGTGGTGACGGAGAGAACAGTGGAGGTTCCAGCCGAGCTTGATGTTGTTCTACTGCCAACGCTGCTCGAGCTCCCTGCGTCAAGCGAAACTGATGCACCCGCTGAAGCTGACGCCCCTATTGAAGCCGACACGCCTACACCGACAGAAGCGCCGATTTGAGCAGTCGTCGCGCTGGTCGATGACGCTGTGCTGGAGGTTGACAAGGGCGACGAGGATGCTGATGACGATGACGATAGGATTGAAGAACTGGCTTGTGATGAGGTGGCTGCCTGGACTGCAGTAGAGGACGAAGTACTCCTCGACGACGAGCTGGCCGTGCTGGTACTGCTTCCACCAAGACCAAGAGACACCACTACACTAACAGCGACTTGCCTACGTTTAAGGACAAACTTGACGTCTTGTTCTGTGGAAACACTTGCTGCAGAGCTTTCATCTCGCTCGATGGCTTCGAGCTGCTGGGTCTCCAGTCGAGGAACAATGACGCTGTCAAGCGGAGCACCCTCAGTGTTGCTCTGAACGGGCCCTGAGAGCACAGGGGCTGAGAATGTAGCAGCGGAAAGCCATGCCGTGATGACAAGATTGGTTGGCGAAGTAGAGAGCGCAGGCCATGCCTTCAGACCGAGACTTGGCGAGTGTGGAAGCGGCAAGAGGAAGACCTGTAGAAGCAAAGATAGTATCATAGTGACGACCATAGCAACGCGAGACGATCGAGGAATGACAAGAGTGTGGCCAGTGGACTAGGAAAACTCGAGACGAATGAATAGAACACGGCAGAGCGAGAGTGGTGAGGCGGTTATACCTACTGCCATGCATCGTGAACGCTTTCTAATCACACAGTGATGCATCTCGGCCTATCCCTCATTGAGCGTGCCTGAGGTCCAATTCATCCCGTTGCGCTGCATCGTGGGGTTCTACCTAGTATGTGTTGAAATTACGTCGCTAGCTCCAGCAACATACTCAAGAATGCCTGGTCATATAAACAAAACGGCCAGAGCTAGTAGCCACAGAGGAGGCAGTGTAGGCCAGCGACTGTATTGTTTCCCCCAAGGTCAGAAGAAGGTGTGCGAGTGAATGCAAAGGACGCCGTATGATAGGTGGAGGCAAGACCTGCCGTGCTTTTCATTCCATGCTTTGCTACTTATGCTTGCCTTGCGTCCCTTACCAGACACTTCCGCTTTTCTCCTTCGGATCTGGACTTTCCCCCTTGCATGCCAGGCAGTGAATCTTGTTGCAGGGCCGGGACGGCTGACATACACAGTCTTGCCCAGGTACATGGGTACATGCCAACGTGCCAGAGAACAATGAGTGACCCGGCCCACGTTATACGATAGGTCTCTATGGCACAAACGTTCAACTTCTAGACAAGCAGTTGGGTGGAGTGGCAGGTCGTACGTAGTGGTTCGCCGTCGATGAATGTGGGGGTCCGGTCTGCCTCTGGTTGCAGAGTTGTGGGCTGTTGCCAGTGGGAGCAGATCCCCTTCCACCATC